CAAATATTTCTCATCCTTGAAAAAGTTGGTATGCAAATGTTCATAGAGTATTCACAATGCTGAAAAATATCAACAATCCAAATGCCTCCTAATTGATGAACTTGTCGAATGTGAAATACAGATGTTCATGATATATTCTTTGACAAAAAAATGAAGGTATGATAGATGCTCCTGAATAAGCAATAAAAACGTTAGGCTAGAGAGTACAGACAGTCACAAATGACAGTTACAACCTGATTCAGTGGAAACATATTCAACACCCAGAAGAGATGCCCAGAGAGAAAGTTGATCGAAAGCTTTCTAGGGCAGGGGAGCGGCAAAGGATGAAAATTAACTTAATGGGCTTGGGATTTCTTATAAAAGAAATGAAATGTCCTAAATTTGGTTGTAGTCTTGATAGTACAACTCTAAATAAGTATCAGGTTTTTTCCCATCTTATTTTTTGGAGACAGGCTCTCCAAATGTTATATGAGCAGAGTTTGTGCCCATGTTCCTCCCACGTGCTAGAGCTATAGGCATGAACTACTGTGTCTAGCTATGGAATGTATTTTTTCACTTGTCTGTAGAGGGTTGGTTTTTTTCTCTTTGGGAGCCTGATACCCAGCTCCCAAATAAATACGTGGAAACTTATTATTACTTATGAATGCCCGACTTTAGCTTGTCTTGTCTCTACACTGCTTTGCTTACTTAAATTATCTTGTTTTTCTTTAAGTTTTGCCTCTGGACTTTTTACATTTCTTTATTCTACATATCTTTTCTTTCCTTCTTATTCTGTGGCTGGCTGTGTGGCTGGTCCCTGGCGTCCTCCTCTCCTTCTCCTTTCTCACTCCTTGCTTTCCTCCCTAGATTTCTCCTCTAGATTTCTCCCTGCCTACCAACCCTGTCTGTTTCTGTCTCCTGCCTAGCTATTGGCTGTTCAGCTCTTTATTACACCAATCAGGTGTTTTAGGCAGGCAAAGTAACACAGATTTACCAAGTTAAACAAGTATGACATAAAAGAATGAAACACATCTGTGTACTATTACACAAATATTCCACAACATAAATTAATATATCTTAAATTAATATTCCACAACACTTTCTCTTAATTTGCTTATTAAATGCAGATTATGTTATTTCTTACAGTTATTTAGACTGGGGAGTGAGAGATTAGGGTCCTCGTCAGTTGAGGACTATGAGGGTTAGTGTTGTCATCTTGACATAATCTAGAATGACTGGGAGATGGGCTTCTGAGCATGCCTGTGTAGTTTATCTGGATTACAATGACTATAGTGGCTAAACCCACCTGTTATGGGTGTCACCATTCCCTGGCTGGGATCCTAGACTCCCTAAAATGGAGAAAGAGAGCTGAACATTGGCACAGCATCCATCTCTCTCTGTTCCTGATGTAGTGTGTTGTGACCAGATGCTTCATGCTTCTGCTCCTTGGCTTCCCCACCATGATGATGCACCTTTGGGTTCTGAGCCAGAATGAACCCTTCTCCCTTAAGTTGCTTCTGTCGGGGTATTTTATCACAACCACAGAAAAAGTGACTAGGATGAGGGTCTCCTCTCTCTAATAGCACACAGAAGAGGAACAAAGACAAGGCAAGAAAATGAAGAGGCCAAATTCTCTGTGAAACTAAACCTTAAATAAAAACCTTATTTGTACAGAAGCAGCATTAATACCTTCATGAGGGTGGAGTCTTGATAACCTAAACACTTTACATTAGACCGCGCCTTCCAACATTTGCACTGCGGATTCAGTTTTCAACACATGGACTTTGGGAACAAGCTTGAAGCACAGCACAAAGAAGGTCCCGGTGTTAGCAACCAATGGACAGAACTAGAGGTCACTGCAGCACCCAACTAAAAGATCACCCTTGTCACAGTGTCACAGTTTTCAGTTTCCCATCCCTTCTCTGATTCAGCCAGTAAACACTGATTTGGTGTCTAGTGTACGTCAAGCTAACTGTCAATGGGGGTTACATCTCCATATGTCTCACTGTAAAAAAGAGAACCCCTTAAATCACATCACTCGTCTTTAAAGCAGCCTCAAAGCATATGAACTTTATCTAGGCAGCGCGAGCAAAGAATGCCAGAACCGAACAAATCAAACATCCGGGACCCAACAACATCAAGGTAAAAGAGAAGGTCATCCACAGATATTAATGCCTCAAACACTGATCTGACCTCTGCCCACTTAATGCATACTATTTCAGAGAGGCCATGATGAAACGGCAGGAGAATTCTGGGTTCTAGTGGTTGCGTGGCTGCCTAGTTACATAACCTTTCGTAAGTCACTTAATTTCAGAAGGCAGTACTTTTAGGTTTACTATTTTCCAATTGCCTTATTTCATAGGTATAATTATGGCAGTTAATGGACAATGTAGTTCATCTTTATATCGGGCCAGGCACCAAAAGCAGCTGAAGTCTACTCCAGACATCACACATATATATTAATGTGATCTGTTGGCCAACTAAAAATAACAATTTGTAATACCTTTCTTTTTGAGGGGGTGATTATACAATAAAGGTAGAAAATGTTTGATTCTTTCAGAGCAGATATGGACATGTTTAGATTATTTTAAATCAGGTCATTAATTCATGTGTCTTTATTTTGACTTGTTTGCTTTTGTGACAGGGGCTCATGTATCTGGCTTCAAAATCCATGTAGCTGAGGATGATCTTGAACTTCAGCTTCTCCTGCCTCTACTTTCTAGTTTATTTGGTGTTGGGGATGGAACCTAGAACCTTCTCTATGCTAGGCAAGCACTCTATTACCTGAGTCACACCCTGCAGCTGTAATATACTCATTTTTAAACGCTAAGGCCTCATTTTGAAAAGGTCCCACAAGGGCATGAAGGCGGACGGACAAAGGAGGCTACAGAAAAACAGCCGAGTGAAGAGGAAGCCCTAGCTCTAATTCTGCTAGGCATTCTGTCTGCAAGGAGACCAGAGCTAACACAAAGCCCACCAAGCCATGATTTGAAACAAAAGCTTCAATCCCAGTCCTTCCACCTTTAATCAGAACAAATTCAAATTTTCACCCCAGATTTAGTCATTGGAACACATCAAAGGTTTAAGGTATTGACCTACTTTGACAGACACATGGATATAAATAAACTACTTTGATCAAACATAGGAAAGGGTTTTTTCCATGACTTTGCCTTCCTCGTTCTTTCATATTTCATATTATTTTCATCTAGAGCAGAGGTTCTCAACATGTGGTCGCAACTCTTTCGGGGGCTAGCGTATTAGGTATCCCATACACCATATATTTAGATTACAAGTCCTAACAGTATTATAAACAGAATTATAAAGTAGCGATGGAATAATTTTCTGGTTGCGGTCAGCACAGCATGAGGAACTGTACTAAGGGTTGCAGCACTCGCAAGGTTGAGGACCTCTGCTCTAGAGTGTCTTCGGGCAGTGTGAGAAAGAACACGAACCTGGCTTGACTTTGAAGTCACACTTGGATGCACGCTAGACTTAGACCTTTCCGTAGCTACGCCCGTGAGTCCCTGACTTAACAGGGCACAACCGTGGACAAAAGCATCCCAGTCAGATAATTAAAGATTTCCATGGCCAGGTCTATAAGTCACTGTAGCAAAATGGGGATGACCCTGAACAATGGTTTAAATGTGTGAGCATCTATTAGCTGCAAACAGGAAAATCTTATTTTTGACATGAACAGTGCTGATGTTTTTCTTTGCCTTTTCTTTCGGTTCAGGTGCAAAAGATGGAACGTAGGATTGGGTTCTGAACCACCAGCACGTCTATGACAGTGTTCTCTTGTGGCAGATTTACTTTACCAAATGTTCGCTACTTGGAGTTCTTTAACTTCAGCCTCCACAGTGTTTTCCAACGGCTAATTTGGGTGAAGAGGTAAGTTGACGGCAACTGGGCCTCACTTTGCTTTTCAGTTTCCACTGCCAGAAAGTCCTCTCTGCGGCTGCTCTTAAGGTGTGTCTAGCAATTAAAGCTGGGAGACCTGGAGACAGCTTCCCTGCCAGCTGTTGAGGCAGAAACGCTGCTCTGCAGAAGTCGAGGTAGCTTGGTAACCACTGCAGCAGCTGTGCTAGAGGCCACACTGCACAAGGTCTGTCCACGCACCCAAGCCATGCCTCCATTCCCATAGCAACACACGAGGACTCCCCTCCTCCTAGGGACGGGGTAGCCAGCAGAAACACTGGGATCATGTCCTGATTTTCCTAGCAAGAGCAGTGTCTCACTTACTCCTTTTCGTAGTAATTTTTTTTCCCCAAAAGGCGGCCAATAACCATGCTGGAATACGTCCACTCAAAAGTTACAAACCAAGACACCTTCAACTTGAACAACAATCTATGCTTTCAAATTTGCTAGGATTCAAATGACTGCAGGGGCTAATAAAATTCCAATTGTATCAGTAATGACTCTGTCCTCGTTTCACAGCCTGAGTGAAATCTAGCCTGAAATCAAGTCCTTACAGACTGATCTCAGAACTGATTTCGCAGTTTCTCCTCTGTGAGCTAGCACGCACTTCCTCATCGTGGAACAAAAGAGGAACACTTTCCAGGGGAAGGCGTCCTTTCATCAACGAAACCCTTGTTGCTTTATTTCTCAAAAGCAGCATAAGTAAACACATACGGAGATAGCATTATAAAACACCTATGAGGTAAACATTAGGAGAACACTTGTTTTAGGCTAGGGAAATAAACATTGGCATCAAGACTCGTAAACAGAGATGGCTCATGGCAAGATCAAGCAAACTATTTTGGTAATACATTCACTTTTTCCTCTTTGAGTATTCGGAGATCCTTTTATTTGTGTTTAAATTGACCTCCCACCACGGAAACAAGTTGCTTAGATTATAAAACAACATTAAAGATTATTATTAATATCACATTTCCCTTTAATTATGACTGTGTTAAGTCAGCTGATGGAACACTCCAGTGGACCAGGTGTGAGCTTAGGGGGATACATTCGCAGGCAGGCCCTCAGGGACACAGTGCCTTTCCCCCCAAAATATATATTTTTACCTTTGCTTTCTCCAACTGTGCCTGGGCCTGCCGCTCAGCTTCTCTACGCACCGCCTCCCGGTCCTCTTCCAAAGACACATCTGAATCGGATGGACGGCTGGTGTAGGAGTCTGCCGAACCCTGAAGAGGAGAATGGATATTTTTAAAATAGATCCAGCATGTGATGGGCGCACTGGAGAAGCCTCGCTGGTGTGTCGGTTTGCTTCCTGGGTGTGCAGTAAATTCCTGAAAAGAGGAGCAAATGATGCATTTTGCTGCATCCCGCCTAGAAAACCCCACTTGACTCTGTAGATTCTTCACTTAGGTAGTAATGTGTACCAACACAACATTCCTTCCCAGGCTCATTTACCAGAAACGAGCCCTTCTGGAAGCCTCTCCTTGTTCCTTTATCATTAAATCGACTCAGTGGTGCAGTGCGGATCTGAAGGGCAATGAGGTGTTTCAAGGATAACTCCAAGAACTGCCTGAGGGCTGAAGCAAGTGTTTACAGCCAGAGAGACCAACAAAATGCACCCAAGGCAATCTGACGAGTTACAAACTTGAACCCTCCACGATCTCACGGCTATGATACAACTTCCATTATCATCTTAAAGATGCTTTCAGCATTCGGCTTCACCTGCTACCTTCTCCGACTCGATCGATGGTAAGACTCTCCAGCCTGCTTCCCTCCCACTTTCAGAAACATACTTAAAAATACCTGCACGCAGATATTTAGTGAGAGCTGGCTACAGAAAACACCTGCTCGAGAGATTTCCTCTGGTAATAAATCACAACGCAGGCAAGGGAGCTCGGAAAAAAATGACAGGAATCTCCCGAGCTCCCTCTCATGCAATCATGAGCGTATTAACTAAATCAAACCACCCTCTCCGCAGGCACTTGCTGCAACAACAGACAAGCAAAGAAAACAGTGTCGCCCCCGAACAAAAAGCCTTCTCGCTTACACAGATGTCCGAATTCTTCAGCCTTCCTCCCTTGGCTCTTTTCAGAAGCCTGATCCAGGTGGCCTTCATGAGCCGGGTAGAGCCTTTAGCGTCCGCAGCTGTAGCGCCGGGCACAGATTCTCAGAGCGCGCTGAGCCCTGGAGAATCCCAGCACCTTTGCCATCCATACTCTAGGAAGCCCCTCTTCTCAGTCCCCCTCTCCACTGGGGCTCTCACTCCCAGCCCCAGTTGACTCCTGTCTGAGGAGAATCTTCTTATTTTCCCATCTCAAGAAAGAAAACACACACACACACACACACACACACACACACACACACACACACACA